ACACACACACACACACACACACACACTTCAGTTGAAATATAAGTGTATCTTACTTCAGCTATAAAAAAACAAACCTAAGATACATAATCACAATTAACTTACAGTATGTAAATCTCTCCTGAAGAGTATTAACGTTATGAAGCCAGCTACAATGGCGAAGGGAATTAAACTTATTACAGCCAAAAGCTGCCCGAAGACATCTCCTGAAAATTTTAAACATTAATTATCATCAATGTAACAATTCTTCCTATATCTTTTACAAAAATCTTTTTCTTGAATCTCATCTCGAAGGAACAGGATGTAAAGTCCTGCGATGGCAAACTGAACAGTCACTAGCAAAACATATGTTGACATAAAATTTCGTATCCGGATCTCAAGGATTCTTCGCGATTTGTCGTGCTAACAACGCGATTTCAGCAAGAAACGTATAACATCGGCAAATTGTCCGGGCGTAGATACAATGTGCACAAACAATCGACCCGCTTTCTCTTCTCGAGAAAGAGCGCGGTGAAAGCTCGATCACCATCGCCACGCAGACGGGAGATTCGTACCTTGCGGATACTCCACCAGTGTCAGAGACAACGGGATCCATTCGGTCTCGTCGGCGGCACGTGTAAAGCGTGACTCGATCCCGTCCAACGGCTCGTCGAGCGATGCCATCGTTATCGCGGTCCTCGGGGAAGTGGCATGTCTCTCGGCGTGCGGCCCGCGGCGGACGGACACGCACCGGTTGGATGTTGGATAAACCGGTTCTAAGTGGAGGGGAGGAATGCGAAGGAAACTCGTCGTATTTACACCCGCGACTACGCGATCGTGACTGTCGCGTCACCGTCCTTCCACATGCCCGCCTGTCCCGTCGCTGGCATTGACCCTCGCTACAGTCGCGGGTCGCGGCATGATGTCGACGCGACGAGGGTCGTAGGCGGCCGCCACACGGAGCGCCGCCGAAGCAGAAGTCCCTGGGCTCGATCGGTTAGCGAGGCAACCGCGAGAAACGATTTAATCAAAGAACGGATCAATCATACGAATATATATTCGAAATTTCGATTATTCACATATAAATTGAAGAGGAAAAAAAAAAAAAATAGGAGAGAAAATTTGGGAATCGGCGAGGTCAGTCGGAAGTATGAAACGAGGTGGAAGACTCAAGAACACATACACACTCGTATAACTTTCGTAGATACATGTGCTTTTACATATCTAAGGAACAATAAGCTTTTATTTTAAACAGGAAATCGCTCATTATCTCATTGTGATTCATTATAAATATCAGCATGTACAAAAGATGTTGAGAGCCAAAGGCCGCGATATCAAGGCTCGCGTTATAAGCTGTGCTGTTATTTCTTTATGTTATGTAGTTCTCTTGTATTATTAAGCCTGATGACATCGAGACAGGATTACATTGGTCTGCCCATGCCGCGTCCCATAGGCGGTTGCGGAGAATCCTGGCTGCTCTTGGGATTCCTAATAGTCTCATCGACAGAGAGAATGAGGCAGGCGGCCTCCGTGGCAGCCGTCAACGCGTTGATCTTCACTATCGCTGGCTCCCAGACGCAACATTGCATGTTATCCGCGATATCCTCCGAATTTATATCGACGCCGTACCACTGCAAGCCCTTGTGATGCTTCTGGCGCAACTTATTCAAGATATTCGTCGCGTCAAATCCGGCGTTATCGCACAATTGTCTGCAATTAATAATCATTGTTAATTATTATGTATCTCATTAATGTTTATGTATATTTTCGATAAGCCGCATATTTTAAAATAATCAAGCGAAGGATTCAAGTTTGATTTCTGTTTCTGCATATATGAAAAAAAATATTTTGTTCCAAAGAAAGTAAGAATCAAAAATAATCCCAGAATTAAATAAATAAATCATGCGTTTTTCTTGAAGAACGGAAATCCAAAGACAAACATACAACGTATATTTGTATAAGTACGAATATACCTCGGAATGACTTCGAGAGCTCTCGCGATCGCTCCTATCAAGAGCTGCTCTTTGCCAGCGATGGTGCGCGAATAATCGCGCAGAGTCTTAGAGATTTCCATCTCGATGGCACCACCGCCGGCGACCACCGCGTCATTCTTCACCATTCGTCGGACGACCATGATCGCGTCATGAAGAGACCTCTCCGTCTCTTCTAGAAATTGTTCCGCGCCTCCACGTAGGATAAATGTACATGTCTTCGCCCGCGAGCACTCGTAGAAGATGTTAAATCTGGCAATACACAATCCAATAATTAGAAATCGTTACGCTTGATTTATAGTTGATACTGCAGAAGCACTTTTTAGCAAACAAAAAATCTTGAATTCGAGTTTTGGGCGAATCTAGTGATTTTCCCAACTTGTGCAATATGGTCAAATAATGCAATTAGCGCATCATTTTATTACCTCTCGCCGCCAATCTGCTTCTCCTCAAAGGTCTGACATCTTCCAAGATCAGACACCTTGATGTCATGCACGGTGGTTAGAATCGCACCACCGCATGCCTTCATTGTTCTCTTGAGATCCTCATCGGGTACCCTACCGGCGCAGAACATATCCCTGTCCGCGAAATACTGTGTTGCGACGTCGCCAATCGGCAATGAGGAGAGCACTACCTTCGCGCCGCTCTTGTGAATCTGTTCGAGCTTATCGTAGAGAATCTGCCACTCGGCATCGACGATCTTTTGATACTCTGCCACATTGTCCACGCGCACTTCTGCGTTATCTCGCTCGGCTTTTAGTTCCAGCTCGATATTCAGCAACGCGATCTTGCATTGCTCGTACTTTTTCGGTTGCATCTCGAATCCGGCGTAAGAGAAAGTCTTTTTAAAGGCCACTCCTTGGATCAGCTCTGAATCCTCTAACGCGCCTCCAGAAATCTAAGTTTTGTATTATTTGATTGTATTAGAATATTAAAAGCTTTTACAAAATGTAGATTTGTATAACTGAACATACCTTTTTAATACCGATCATGTTGAGAGGGAGTAATTCATCTAGCATCATGACAGCCTTGACGACCAACTGGCTGAAATGTTTTTTCTGTTGGTGTATCAGCTTTGAGCTCATGGACGTGGCCGCACATTCCTCTAGGAGCTCAATCTGTTTGCTCATGTCACTTTTATCTATTTTGACACTTAACTCATTAATTTTAACTTTAGCTATCTGAAGAGCGCGACGGAGAGCCTTAATAATTATACGTGAGTGGACACCCTCCTCTATAAACGGTTTCATCTGTTTCAAGAATTCTCCTGCTAGCAAAACTACACTAGTTGTGCCGTCTCCAACCTGTCAAATAATAGAACATTCATAATAAACTGCTCCCTGTCATTTTACTTATGCTATATTTTTAAAAATAATATTAATAAATAAAAATACAAAAATCAAAATATTTTATCTTGATATAAAATTATAGCAAAATGTTCGAACGCTATTGAGACAATCACATGTCTTCATGATATTGCCAGTCTATATACGTTCTGAATGTAATATCCTCTGACTCTCATATACTGAATAACATTATCTTCATTACGTCATTGCCGAAACCGTGAGAAACACGGTTTGAATTCATTTTCAGAGGAGACAATATTAACAGATGTAACAGTAATACTTAAATAAATTACCTCTGCATCTTGCGACTTGGCAATGTCCACTAGAGTCTTTGCAGCAGGATGAATAATGTCCAACAATTTCAGAATGGTAGCACCATCGTTGGAAATGGTGCTCTTCCCATTTTGATCAACTATGAGCTTGTCCATGCCGCGAGGGCCCAGGGTGGTCCTAACAGCATCCGCAACGATCTGGCATGCATTTATATTGGATATCACTTGTTGTTTTCCCTGGGACGCATCTGTGCCCTCCTTCAGCAGGATTATTTGAGGTTGCTGCATTCATTAACAAGAGGAAAATTAGAAGATGCATTTAAATAAGTCATATTACTTTCAATGTCTAGATCTATTTTAATCACAATTTAACTTATTTTATTTTTATTTCCAAAAATTAGAAAAAGATAGAATAAATCAAGTCGAGATTAAAATTGATAAACATTGCTAGAAATAGAAATAGAAATTGACAGAAAATGGAGATTAATTTTAAATAAATATAAAAAAGGTACCCTCGCGTATCTTCCCATTTCCAATATCGACGATACTTTTCTCTTTTTAAAGAAATCGCGTGAATAATCGTAAGATCAAAGCGGAGTTGTTGAAAACGATGAGAAAAACGAAGATCGGAAATAAAAATAATTTGAAGATCTACATCGTCAGGGCAAATCGGCAGTGTCGGTAAACAAGAACGGAGGCTGTGAAATAGATTTTCCTTATAAGGTTATAAAATCAGACCGGACCAGGAATCGATAACCTGACGTCACGAAGGCTACGAGCATAAAATCAGCTTCGCCTGAGTCTTCGTGTCGCGAGGTATTTTCCATCAAGAGAAAGTAAAGAGAAGCAAGAGTGACAATGATAGGATTGATGCATAAAGTCGAGATAAAAGCGAGGCACGAAGTTACGCACGAGGCGTCGCCTCCTTCTTGGAGGTGGGACATAGAAAAATGTCTGCAGATGAGATTAATCGGCGACTTTGCTTTCTCAATATCGAAACTTACCATCTCGGAATCTCTTTTCTTTTCACGAAAACTATTATCACGCGCGTAATCAGCGAGTTAATCCTTCGGTGATATCTCGCGATCGCCGACAGAAGCAACGCGAACGGTGACGAGCAGAAAACGCGCGACCTCGAGAGGTTCGAATGTGACGTAAAATTGCGATGGTGCCCACCACCGCCACCCATCGTGATTACGTCTATTCTTTATAGCTGAACTCTGAGTGTGCATTCAGGCTGGTGTCCCATGGCGCGGAAATCCACAGCGGAACGGAACGCGCGAACCAATCACAGCAAAAGAACGAACAGAATGAACGAGTTTTTCTTTTGGTTCTTTCGCTGTGATTGGTTTGCCCGTTCCGTTCCGCTGTGGATTTCCGCGCCATGGGACATCAGCCTCAGTGTACGTGAGAATGAAATAGATATATATTTTGGAACTTGAAAAGAAGAAGAAAAGAAAGTTTTGGTACGGCTCACTGTAGCGAGGCTTTAGGTTTGCTCATTGTTCTCTCATTGATATTTCATTCCGTAGAATTTTTGTATCTAAAAAAATATTTATTTATTTTTTGATTATTTTACAATGTTCTCCTTTTCATTGTGAAATACAAATTTCTGAGAAACATTTATGATTAGAATTTATCAAAACAAGATATTCAAATATTATTTTTAATTATATTAGCCTTTTTTCTTAGAATTACTGAATAGAATAAATTTCTCTGATTTTCCGATATTAACCATATTTTCTTTAACAATTTCTGTAAAATTGTGCAGCAAAATATTTTTGAAAATTTGAGTGAAGATCATATTTTGTAGGAGAAATTATAATTTTAGAAAAAGTCTGTATTATTTAACAATTTCTTAAAAGAGTATTGAAAATATAGTTTGAGAAATACTTAAAAAAGTATTGAAAATATAACATGAGAAGTACTTATTCTTATATTAAAAATACAATATCAGAGAAAACATAACAAACAAATTTTATCCTAGAAAATATTCCATTGCATATTATTTTAAAAATTAAGACTTATGAAAATCTTTAATTGTAGAACGAATATGAAATAAAGATAAAAAAAAATTTATCTTCTATCCATAAAATTTCCAATTTTTTTATACATTATCAGAATGTTACTAAGATGAAAAAGAAAATTTGATTATTTCAGAAAAAATTTCATCTATTTTTATGATAAAGTTTAAGAATATTTTATTCTACGAAAAAATTTAATTTAAAAAAAGTTATACATTTTTCTAAAAAAAATTTCCCCACCAGGGATGTTGGAGGAAGGGAGAACAAGAAACTCGAATGTAGGAAATGGGACCAACACGAACAAACCTCTGCCAGATCGCGTCATAAACATTACGCCTAATTTCGCGTCGTGATGTTTCCAGGAAGTGACTCGTTATCAGGAGGGGCACTCATAGATCCTTGACTACGCGACTAATAATTATTCTCTCAAGGACGATTTCTGCAGGCGCGCAATAGAAAAGTCACAGTTTGCCAATATTATTGTGATGCAGCAACGAAAACGAGTCGCATCCAGAAACTGAGGTATTTAAAACAATATCTTATAACTCTCGACCCAGTTAATTTTAACTATCTCTCACATAGAGAACGATTTAATTTTCCTCAGCTTTTTGCGCGAATCGACGTTAATTAATGCGACTGATTTAGCAGTCTAACCCCCATTTCCATCAACGTAGATTAATCTTGATTTCAATAATTTTCTATCTTTATATAATTCTACGAATTAAAAGAAAATAAAAGATAAATCAAGATCAAGGTATTGATGGAAACAAGGGTAATTCTTCAGTCTGCGATTTCAAGAATCGCACACGCGTAACGCAAGGTTCTCGCGTTTCGCAGTTACGTAAAACGCGCGATCCGGAGTGCGATTCGTATCCCCGCACAATCCCCGGACGAGATCGTTTCTCCTCCCCATCCCCCTGCGCTCCCCTCATCCCTCTTGCGCCCCCGCCGCACGGATTTATTTTCGAGCGACGCTATATTTGTGTAGATCCGCCTTTTATGATATTGTGTAATATATATACGTCGCATCACGTAATTCTGCTGTCATCACGTAATTCAAACGGGACACGACGATCCGGGACCGGAAAAGTCACTTCAGTCGTTCCCGCGCTCCCGCGTTACGCTCTTCGTTCCCGTCAATCGATACGGTGAACGTCGAGAAGGTCCGTCGTCAGAGAACAACTTCCTCTCCCTCATCGATGTCAAACGGAGGCGAGGAATAAGCCTGAAAGTCACGTCGTTGACAGACGATTACTCTGCAACCCTGTCTGGTGTTACAGGTGCGGTTCCCAGAAGTGTTCCTCGAAATCGACCTTTGTACCTTTAACCTGTTCTCCAACCTTTCGTGATTGAAATTAAGAACGGAGGCTTATGGGGATGATCTTCGGAGAATCCTTAGGTTTAACGCGTTCATTTTATTTGATAATACCAAGTGAATTTGCTCGGAATCGTCGATTTTTCGTCTCTCGCATTTGCACCTGATTCCGCAAAGGCACTCGACGAAAGTTCAAGGTAACGGGAACGCCGGAACATCGATGGGCTGTCCTGAGAGCGCAGGCGCGTCCTCCGCGAAAGGGCGCAAAGGCGCGAGAAATCGATGACTCTGAAATTTGGCTCGACTGCGATTATTTGGAATATTAAGAGTCGGCAAGAGTGATAGGCCAACAATAAGATTATCTATTAATAAAATTATCTATTCCGTATCTGTGGATAATTATCTATGCGAATATATATTTGATATATATGTTTAATCATATTTCATATCTCGTAGAAACAATACTTTGACGTGACACTACTTTTTTTATGTATTTGTTATAAAGTTATGAAATTTGCTCTAATTTGCTAGATTTTATAATTTAACTCTTAAATAATTATCTATTCTACGTCTATAGCAGATACTTGTTTGAATTCACCTGTATTTCATCTTATAAAAGTAACATTTTCCAATGAGATTTTTTTTATGTATTTGTTATGAAGCTATGATGGTTGCTACAAAGCTAGATTTTGCAATTTGGTTCTTAAAAATTTACAATAAATAAAAATATCTGTATTTTATTGCAATCTATAGTCCAAATCTAGTTAGACATCAAACGAATTATTTGTTTTTGTTTTTCTTTAAAAAAAAATCACTCTATAGAGATTTGCGGGATATAATTCTTCTTTCTTTTGATAATTCTTCGGATAATTCTTCTGATGAATATCAACCTCGTTTATAATTCCCTTAAATACTCTTGTTCTAAAAAGTACTTAATTTTCTTCAGCGTTTTTATTTAAATGTCTGTTATAACCATTCTTTTTTCAATACTCATTTATTTTTTATTGACTTGAAATTTGCATTCAAAATTATATTATATTAGATTTATTATATTAGATTATATTATATTAGATTTCTAAGGTTGTATTGCATCTGATAATATAAACTTTTCACTGTCGTTGTATGACTTATAAAACATGTCAAGGAAAAATTGGAAATAAGTAATTGAATTTCAGAACTCATTTTCTGTGACAATTCTGATTTTTAGTTTGAAAATCCCAAAAGTTGTTTCTTTATTTTTTTAAATGTAGCTACTTATAACACATATCGCCAATTGATTTATGTGGAGGTGGATGAAATTAAAATTTGTTGAAAATTTACAGAAAAAAATTTGCACTCGTGTCAGCTGAAGACGGAATAGGTGCATATATTTGAGCTGGAGACCGAGAGGCCGCAATTTTTCGAACTGCTTCGAACTGCCGAAGTGGCTTCTTCGAGAATTTAAATATCCCCGCAGCTTTCAATCTAACATCCCCCGCGGGGAAGCCGCGCGGGAAAGATGAAAACAATCTGGGTAATCGGCGGGCCGGGATGCGGCAAAGGAACGCAATGCGATCGCATGATCGAGAAGTATGGGTTTCTTCACTTGAGCAGCGGCGACTTGCTGCGGGCAGAAGTCGCCAGCGGCAGCGAGAGGGGTGCGTCGCTTCAAGATCTGATGTCCAAAGGATTGTTTGTGCCAACGGTATGTAATTTTATTCGAAGTTAAATTTCAAGTTTCACCTCTGTTCATTTAAATAGAAATGCAAGAGAGATGCAAAATACGAGAAGAAATGAAAAAGATATAAATGTGAAATTGTTAAAAGAGATTATCGCAAGAATGAATGAAGATTGAAGAGAATTGAAGAGATATAAATAGATAAATATATATATATATATATATAATAAAAAAAAATCGCGTATCTTACGCGAACGAACCTGATTTTTCTCAGTGTGAAGATCATATGGTTTCGCTAGGACATCGTGCTGGAGCTCATAAAGGAAAAGATGGACAAGGCTCGCAAGGAAGGAGTCACGAAGACTGGATTTCTCATCGATGGTTACCCCCGTGAAAAGGATCAGGGAATTCTCTTTGAGGAAAAGGTTCGCTTACATTCTCTTTTCATTTGTATTTTCAATTATCGATGTGTTGCTGTGCAGGTTTGCCCCGTCGATTTAATCCTCTTCTTCGATGTAGCAAACGACACTTTGAAGAAGAGACTTCTCGGACGCGCCGCTGTGTCCCAAAGAGCGGATGACAATGAGGAAACAATCGAAAAAAGAATCAAAATATTTAACGAGAAGAACAGCGAGATCATTGAACATTACAAAGACAAAGTTGTCAGAGTGAGTTCAAATTCACATAATATTTCTTCGTTTATATATCTCGCATTGTATACATTATTAACCTGAATAATTTTTATACTCTTCTAGATTAATGCGGAAGGAACAGTGGATGAAATATTCGTCGAGGTAACGAAAGCGCTGGACACTTTATTAGCTTAGATAAAGCACTTGGAAATTTTTAAAGAGCTATGAGCCCAAAGAGATTTATGTTATTCTTTAAAATAAATCTTTCAAAATTATTACATTCTAGACGATGTTGGACACTTATTCAAGGAATAATGTGGAACATATATGTACAAATTAGATAGCTTTGGTTGTTAATTATTAAATAAAACTGCTGCAGAACTGCTTCGAATCTGCTTCGAAACATTTTTAACAACTTCAACAATTTATCTTATAAATACAAATTTTTAATCGACAACTTAATTATTATGCCGTAAAGTAAATTAAGATCAAAGGCAACAATGATTTACGTTAATAGTTTTTAAATAGTTTCCAAATTGCACATCTGTAGGTTTATCTCTTAATATAACCGTTAGTTTTCCCGACAGCCATTTTTACCCGCACGATATTTTGCGAGATAATAAAGGCTTGTCTCGTCATTCTGTCTTTTACATAAGTCGTATATTGCATTTGGAATGCAGATACTAAAACATATGATGACAGCAACATCACCAATCGCATAAATCACCAACCGCAAAAATAACTGTTATACTATCGAAACGAAGAAACCGATTCGAGCTGTGAATGATGAGTCTTTCTTTTTTTTCTTACCGAAAGAATTGTGGCGAGAAGTAAAATTGCGAAATATTAGACCGATTCTTCGAACATGGATAAATATTAACGGATGGTGAATGCATAGAATGTCGTCCTCCTATTAATTTAATATTCCGTAGCTCAGACAGCACAAAGTTCTTGAGTACTTAGCCAAAACTTTCCATCCACAGATTTGAAGGACGCGTGCCAGTTAGTCTTTCCATTTATTCTTCTGTCAACTTCGCGTAAATTTATTTATATTATCGTACCTATCACACGCTTCGCCCAATTTTCGTTATTCGTATACATGAAACCTGCTACCTCTATATAATGGGCTCTTTATATAGTGACATAAACATTGTTCTTTCTGTTTTGGCATTCAATGAATAACAAGGATAAAATGATATTTGTGTCACTAAATAAGAATCATTAAATACATTTAAATATAATTAAATACATTTTTCGTCTCTTCGTGTTCCCCTCCTCCCCCCCCTCGTCCGTAAAGACAGGAGGAACGTTGCATATTTAATTACTGCCGTGCGACATGCCCTTTCGCGAGGAACATATTTCATTACGAGTAAGTAAAACGTATATTACGACATGTAGATGTAGGTATTTGTTCATAATACGCTTCTTTCTCGCATGCATTTTTATGCATGAGGGAGCGGCCTCGAGAAGCAAATGAAAAAAAAAAGAACAACAGCGAAACAGTTGCTCGAAGTATCGGATAAGCGAAACAGTTGCTCAAAGTATCAAATTGCAAAGTACATTTGAGTCCTCTCTGAGGTACCATTCGGTACGATACAAAGTTTTACCCCTGAATACGTAAGTTTTTAACTGCCTAGATTACATATATATCTCTCGATGACTTCATCAGTTCTTTTGAAACTTAAGCTTAATTTTTTACGTTACATCTCTTATGTCATTTTGCTTATTGCTTTATCGACATCTTGCGCGCTAATTGCTTGCGTAGTTCGCAATAACATGATTTTACCGATAGAATAATTCGACATTTTCTTTCGCGAGACTTTCGCCATCGACCATCATGACAGTGAGTCGTTCTCGTTCGACATCGAACATGAATTATCAGAGAAAAAAGAAACAGAATACATAAGAAAGAAAAAAAAAAAGAGAAAAATCTTGCGATGCAGTGGAACGAGACGAGCATAGACGCGCGAGGGTAGAAATTCGCCGCAGATGTAATGGAATTGATTGTGCCAAGGGGTTGTCTTTGCGGTGTTACAGGATGCAGGCGGCGCTTAGCATCAAGCGTCAACGAGAGCGCCGGGATCAGCAGCGTCGCGCGCGCGATCGTCGTAATAGCGCGCAATCGAACGAAAGCGGCTTGACGTTGTCTAAAACCTCGATCGGATTGCTGGATCGTCATGGTAAACACAAAGACACGCAGAGCGAGACGTGCGCCGGCCAGGAGGGTATGCTGGTGATCATCTCGACCGGGATACTATACATCGGCGTGATGTTCCTGATGCTAGGCGCCTTCCTGCTTACGGGCGGTCTAACGTGGGGCGATCTCTCCCAATGGGGTAAGAAGACGACCAGCAGCTGGTGGAACGCTCTGATCGTGGTCGGTCTCTTCGCGATCGTCACCGGCATCCTGCTTATTGCTCTGAACAGCGTGTTGACGAAGAAGGAGGAGAAACGTCTCAAGAGATACATTCAGGGGCAGCTCATCAGGTCCCGGTCTGATTATCAATTGAACCGAGACGTGAAGACCGGCGGTTTGATCACTCCCCAAGCTAGACAGGCGAGGCAGATGTCGGACACCTGCCTCGAGATCAAGGACAACGGCTCGCCGGGACGCAGCCCGCCGTCGCCGTACACGCCGCAGATCGTGATCAGCGATGACAATCAGTCGGCTGTTCAGACAAGCACGCAGTATCTGGAGCGGATCACCGAGGAGGAGATCGTCCGCGACCGCGTCGAGACCTCGACCGCCAATAGTCTCTGCCCGGGGTCGCCTCGACCGAGCGAGACTCGGAAGTTGCTGCAAAACGCGATTCTCGAAGCAAAACAGGAATCCGCAACAAGTTCACCTGAAGAGCTAGTAAAATCGAGAAAGAGAGACGGAAGCGACGCGATGTGCGGATAACATGGGGAAGGTAAAAACGGGCGATTTTTATTCAGAATACTTTCAACCGCGATACTTTTAGAGGAGTGAATTTATGCAAAATCAATCCGCCGGAATGTCGCGTACGAGACGACTCAAATGCGATGCGCATTTTGGCAAGCTTACGTCACGTTCTTCATATGGAGAACCATGTCTGTGTCGATGTCCGCGGAAAATATTTCAGCAAAAGCTGCGCGCAAGCCGCTGATTCTGCGAGTTATAATGTGGCATGCACTTGCAGATATAAACGAAGTTGGCAAGCGATGAGTCACGAGTGGTGAATGCAGCACAAAGTATGTAATTAGAATAGGGAAATATTCGGGTCACGAAGTCAAATTAAAGTTAAAAAAGATTTTTATTTTTATAAAAATTATATCTACTATCATAATCGTATCAAGAACATACTTGATTCTTGAAATTTTAATTTTAAATTATAAAATTGCATGTTACATATATTGATATAATTTTAAGACTAGAAAATTATTTTGTAAATTAATATCCTCTCGATGTTTCTCATTAATTTATCAAATTAGATTATAAAATAGCAGTTTATTTTTTTACATTGAAATCTATCTTTTTTTGAAATTATGAGACCAGTCTTCCCATTTACTCTTCTTTCGCGTAAGTGTATTTATGTTAAGTGCGTATCACGCTTCGATCGACTCTCATTCCCACAGAGCATACTATATCTATATAATGATAAATACATTTTTTTATTTCTCGTGTTCTTTTCCTCTTTCCTCTCTCCATTTTAATTCATGTAAGGGCAAAGCATCGCGTCGCGTCGTGCAGTTCTATGAAAAGTATTTAATTACTATCATGTAACGTGCTTTTTTTGCGAGAAATGTGCATGTGCACATCACGCGTAAATAAGCACGCATAACGACACGTATATTCAGGCACTTATT